GAGAGAGAGGGAGAGAGAGGGAGAGAGAGGGAGAGAGGGAGAGAGGAGAGATCCAAGATACAGTGCCCATCTTCCCATACAAATCGGCACCTCTATCTCCACTGACAGATTTCTCAGGATTAGTGAGTTATCCCAGCCCCAGCAGGCTCCCCCTTCTTCTGTAAAAGAGAAGGGACTTCTGCTGTCTTCCTCCATGGTCCCAAGGAGCCCATAGCTTGTCTTTTCCCTGCTTTTCTTCTCTCATAAAGCTCCCAAATGGGCCCTGTTCTGGGAATAGCTGATAAGGGGGCCAGGGTGGGGGAAGTCACATGGGAAGAAAAGGACAGGCGCAGAGGGTTGGTCACTGCTCAGCAGGCCAGATAAACACGGGTACTTAGTCATCGTCACTTAGGCTTGTGAGTTCCAGGCTAGCTGTAGGCCAGCCATGGTTAAGTGGGAGCCAAGGAGAGAGAGAGGCCCTGGGGTGGGGGCCGGGGGAGTTAGTGCTGCTAGGGACAGGTCGTGGGCGGGAGAAGCACCTCCTCACCCGTGTTCCCTCTCACCCTCTCTGCTTCCCGTCCCATCCATCCTGCCTGTCAGCAGCTGTTCTTGGAAAGGGAGGAACAGCTCTTCTTGTGGAGAAAGGAAATCAGGGCAAAAGCAATAAACCACACAGGGTGACTCCCAGGCTGAGCAGCTTTTGGACCAAAACCTTCCATGAAAGGGGAGCGTTGTGTGCTGTGAGCCCGGCCTGTGGCTGCATGTGGGGACTACTTTGGATGGCTTCCTGGCAGTTCCGGGAGGCAGTGGCCCTGCCTCCTCAGTGGCCCCTGGGGCCTCAGAAACACACAGATGTGACCACACCGTCAGCTGTCCCTGAAGCCGCGGCACAGCGCTATTTCCCAGTCCTCTGAAAAGCAGCTCCGTGTAGCCCCCTGCCCTCGTTTGTCCCCTACCGCATGGTCTGAGTCACATCCTTTCCCCCAGTCCGAGCCCAAGCCTCTGAGTTTTCCTCGTGTGTCAGCCAGAGTACCAGATCCTACTGTTTTGGAATTCCTCTGCTGTGCGGTTTAGAGCAAAGGAATCAAGTTCATCCCAAACCAATGCAAGGACAGCGGGAGGCTGACATCATATTTTCCTTGGTTTCCATCTTCCCTCCCGGAGCCAGCTGACTCTGCCTGGCCGCTGCTGGGCTGGGGGGAGGTTATTTGACACTTGGCCGCCTTGAGCTGGGGTCAGGGTCACGTGCTTCTTGGGAAGGGCCCCCGAGTCCAGCTGGACATCTCGAGATGGGAGGGGAGGGACACGGGAAGTCACGGTTCTGTAGAACATGGGCTGGAGCCAGCAGTTTTATTCATTCTTTTGTTTTCTGCAGTGAGAGTAAAAGTTCCTGAAGCTACAGAGTGTTCTACACTCTCTCCTGCTCCCCATTTTTCTGCCCCTAGTGCCAGGGTGAGAGTAGTCCCAGGGCTCTGTGAATCTGGGTGCTGTCTCAGCACCCCACCCTACCAGGCCAGCCCTGCAGTGCCATCACAGAGGAGAGAAAGGTGGCCAGAGACTGCATCATGCGATGCCTTGACCCTCAAGGCAGCCAGTGGACGTGCGTGCTTGAAAGGCACCGCCTCCACCCCAGCCTGCCACATCCCGGTCATCCACGGGAGACGAGAGATCATGGGCTGAGGACAGCATAGGCCAGGGTAGTCCTTGTCTGACCCTGATGCAACCAGGACAGCTACGCGGTCACCGTGTCTGCCGGAGCTCAGGCTTCTCAGCCTCCCAGCACACATGCACACATGCACCTGTGCACACATGCATGCCAGTGAGCATTTGCACATACGTGCACAGAACACACGTGGGCTTCTGCACTTAGCAGGACTGTGTGTCTCTCCAGCAACCCCTGGTGCGGCTCAGAGGTGGTGCCCAGGTCGGGGAGGGCCGTGTGGAGGTGCTCAAGAACGGAGAATGGGGGACGGTGTGCGACGACAACTGGGACCTGGTGTCGGCCAGCGTGGTCTGCAGAGAGCTGGGCTTCGGAACTGCCAAAGAGGCCGTCACCGGCTCCCGGCTGGGGCAAGGTAAGGAGCAGGGCTGCTGCTGGGGAGGCCTGTCTTGCTGGGACAGTGTAGCCTCTGTGGCTGGTCGCCATGACCTGATGTAGCTCTTTGTGCATCTCCTTCCTGTGGCAGCTGATGCTTGTTGAGGGAATCTCAGCCTCCCGCAGATGGTCTGGCTTGGAAGGGGCCCTAGATGACGCGGAGTTCTCAGTTTATGGATTTGGAAGTTGAGGCCCAGAGAAGGGAGTAAATGAGCAGGGTTAGAGGACAAACTAGCAGGCAGCAAATGCTCTGAGCTGGGTCTCCCAACTCCTAACCCTGTGCTTTCTGCTCCCTCACCAAGGAAGCTGGGGTGGTCATGCCCTTCCTCCAGGAGGGGACCTCAGAAGCCATCAGGCTGTAGGCCACAGTGGACACAAAAAACCGGATGTCACCTTCCTTTTCCACCCGGATACAGCCCCATGTTTTCCTCCTGACAGCAGAGCAAATGAATAGCTTACCCACCCCCTCTAAGGAGAAAGCCTGGTTTTTATTAAGTGTCCTGAACCAAATCTTCCATACGAGCAAAGAACAAAAGTATCGGAGGCTTTCAAGGGGTCGCTCCAGGTTCAGCACTGCTGTCACTGTGAAGTGATGCAAAACTGACTGCTTCCCTCCCCCCACGAGCCCCACGGAGCCTGCCCATCGCCAGCCCTGGCCCTTCAGTGGGAACCTCACCCAGACCCACTGCCACCTCCTGAGTGCCCAGCTGTCCCCCAGAGGACTTGCCTGAGCCAGGAGGACCATCATTTCCCAGAACCTCTCCAGCACCGACCAGCAGGGAGGAAGGCGCCGGGAGGAAGGGCCCGGGCTGCGCATGATGGGGCCATCCTGTGCTATGGGGAGAAGATGCCCCCTGTCCGTGTGCAACCATCAGCCCACAGAAAGGAATGTGGTGAGGTCGTTGCCCTCTCGTCCGGAGCCTACATGGCACATGCTGTGCTTTCCTCGGGTGAAACTCAAGCCCTGGCCTGCCCCACGTCTAGCGGTGCAGCCCATGTGTCCCGTGTCTTGGTCCTTTCTGCAGTGTGCCGTGCCCCAGGCTGCAGCCAATCACCTTTTCAGCAGTCCCAGGAGGCTGGAAGGAGTGACTGGGGTGACAGTGCTGGGATCACAGACAGCATTGCCGGAGGGAACGTCAGCTCCCCCAGCCCATCAGATGAGGAATCTGAAGCCACCCTGATAACCAGTGGCAGAGAGAGACAGAAACCGAAGTCTCAGTCTGACTTGGCATCCTCCCTTCCTCCCTTGGCCCAGTCCCGCAGACATTTGGATGCCGTCTCAGTCTCTGTTCTCCACTGCATCCTGGGTGTCCACGGAAGGCTAAGGTCAGGGCAGGTGTTAGCAGCACATTATGGCACCTAGCAGCCTCCATTTTGCCACCTGACACACAATCCTCTGCCCCCAGCAAAGCCCACTCCACTGGTTGACTCACCTGCGGGTTTGTGCTCTCCTCAGGCCTGCAGGAGCAGGCCTGCTCATCCGAGGGAATACACAAGCACTCGTGACATGAGTCCATTCATGGGTGTATGCTTTGTGGCCTAATTATTTCCCTGCAGGCCTAGAGAACCCCAGGAAAAAGAAGCCCTGGACGGCCCTGATGCTGGCCTTGAAAGGGCCACTAGATGGCTCATCACCCCCTGCTACGCTGGATAGGCAACCCCAGTCGGCCCAGAGGAAAAGTACCACATTCGGTGTGTCACAGGGCGGGCAGGATCAGTTCTTCCATCCTGGCTTGCAGTAACAGACCAGCAGTAACACCCACACCCAGGGTGGAGAAAGGGCAATAGCTGAGAGTCAGGCAAGCAGAGTGCTCACCGTGGCCCTGCCACCTACTTGATGGGTGACCTTGAGCGACCTGCTGGCCTTGGCTTTTTCACTGTAGAGCAGAGTGGCCGGGTGGGTGGCGCCTGGGACTCTGGCTCTAGCCCGACAGAGCCAGACTTGGGTCACCAGCTGCTGCCCTTCGTGTGCTTCAGGACTTTACACAGCGGGACCCCAACTATCTACTGGCACATCCACTCCCACTCAAGACTGAGCAGTGTGTGAGACAGGGGCCTGTGGCATTTGAGTATGCCCAGCACATCGTGTCCCAGAGATGTTCACGGGTACAAGAATGAGTGAACTAATGCATGGACGCGTTCACGTAGAATAAGCAGGGCCAAGGGAGCGAACACTTAGCGAAGGAGTTCCGACTAGACCTGCGCTGCCCAATAGGAATACGTGTGAGCCACCTCATGTGGCTGAATTCTTTTAATAACATTTTCTTTAACCGTGGGTATGAAACTATGACTTCAACATGCAGTTGTTAAACATGCTATTAGTCTTTGGTCCCCAGATTCCTCATTTCATGGAAAGGTTGCTCTGATGATTAAAAGAATTACTATCCGCTCACTTGCTAGATGGCTCCCGTCGGCCCCTCCAGGACTTCTGCCCTTGCCTATGATGTCCACTGCCCTGGAGGCATGCTTCGGTTTAGCCAAGCAGGGCACTGACAAACACACGCTAGAGGTGGGCGGAGGAGAAGAGCTGGGACATCTCTCTCCCTGCAGGGTCTCCATCGGTCCTGTGTCCCTCCACCAACAGTGACAGCTTTTACAGGTGGCCTCTCCCACACCTGTTCTCCTCTCCCAGGCCAGATGCTGGCTTCTTCCTCACTCGTAGGAGTGCACCTGAGCCAGCTGTTATTGGCCTCAGAGTCCTGGACTGGCCTTTGTGATTTCGTACATTCCACCCACACCTGTAATTTAAAACTCCCCTTTTCTAACTCAGACCATCTCATGCGTCTATGCCAAGTATATTGCAAGGATGTGGCTGATACAGTGATAGTTGCCCCTTTCAGAGGCATACATGCCTGGAATGTTGGGGTGAGGGAGGACACTTAGGTATCTTCTAGTCCGACTCCTCCATGAATGTGAGAAACCCAGTATTCAGGTAGGCTGAGTGATCCGGCCAAGGTCACCTAGCAGGCTTGTCATGGGCTTTATCTGCGCTCGGCAGAGGTGAAACCCAAGACAGTTAGCAGTGCTGGCTCCAGGAACAAGAGCCTGGGTCACTGAGCCCGCTCCAAAGGGGCAGCGGGGAGCGTGGAGGCTGGGAGAGGTGGGTTCTTATGTCCAGGAGCATCTTGCTAGTTCGGAGAGTTTTCATCAGTAGCTCTCCTCGCACGTATTTCTTTTCCCTCACCAGGGATTGGACCCATCCACCTCAACGAGGTCCAGTGCACGGGGACGGAGAAATCAATCATCGAGTGCAAACTCAACACCGAGTCACAGGGCTGTAACCACGAAGAGGACGCAGGCGTGCGCTGCAACATCCCCACCATGGGCTTCCAGAAAAAGGTGAGGGCCTGGTCGCTCAGCAGGGACTGCGCCACCGAGGCCCCAGAAAGCACAGACCGGCTGGCCTCGCTCTGAAGGGTCCTCCTGGCTGTGGGAGGTTATGCTGAGATGCAGGGCTCGGGCTCCACTGCTATCACTATTCATGTCCCTGTCATCTGCCGTTTGTAAGCAGGGACATATGTCAGTTCTCCCACCTTAGTGGCAGGTACCTGGCAACCACCGTGGGCCACGTCTTGCGCTGGGACTGAACACAGTGTGCTGGCATCTCAGTCCTTTCTGCAAGGGACTCAAGGCCTCCCACACCTGTGACATCCATGGGATGGGCCTTTTCCAGGGATCCAGAGGCACCACCTGGACAGCGGGTCTGCAGACCACACAAATGTGAGCACAGAGCACATGGCGTTTGGTAACCAGAGGGAGAAAAGAGACATAGATGTATACCCCTCCCTTTTTTGTACTGGGATCCGGGCCTTTGGACTAAGCTATATCATAAGCCCTTTTTATTTTTTATTTTGAGACAGGGTCTTGCTAAGTCCATAATTTTCCCAGGCTAGACTCAAATTTGCAGTCCTCCTGCCTCAGCCTCCCAGAGTGCTTACTCCTCCCTTCTTAAGACAAGGCCTGTAGCAACTGCACTAAGTCTCCTGTCTGGGGTTACTCTGCCTGCAAGATAGTGAGGAAGATGAATTCCTCTTTGCCATGCATGAGTTTCACCCAGTCCTGGGAATGTGCCCAGAAAGTTCTATGTAATGCTCTTCACTGTGTCTTAAATTTGGTCAGGGTTATGTATCATTCAGGATGGGCTCAAACTTGCAATCTTCCTGCCTCAGCCTCCCAGAGTGCTGGGGTTACAGATGTGTGTGTCAACACACTTGGCAGGGCTTGACCTTCCTACCCTTCTGGGGTGATGGTGGCCAAGGTGCAGACATGATACTCCTAGCTGACCCCATGGTGGCACTTGGGTGTGGCCCTGGGATGGGAGAGCCATGTGCTGGGCCAAGTCAGCTCCATGGTCAGCTGCTGCCATGTGTTCCAGGGTGCTAAAGGAAAGGAGGAGCCCTTCTCCCATGTGTAAACTGCCCACATTCTCTCCAGTGTTCCCTGTCACGGATGGGGCTGCAGGCCAGGGCAGCCTTGGAGGACACAACAGTGTCCTGGGGCCTTGGGCCGTGCTATTGGCCGCCATGTTTCCCTTGGCTCACAGTGAACATGGCGGCTGTGTGAGCGGCCATTGCCTTTGAGGCTTTTAGAACCCCAGAGAAGGACACTGCACACCGCCAGCCAGCTTAGTGTCAGGCCATCCGGGCAGCAGTAGACCAGGTGAAAGGGCCCTCCAACGCTTCCCAGGGACAGCCCAGAGTCGGCCGCCTCCTCATGGACGTACTCATGGGAGCCCGCCACCCTCCGAAAGCAGGAAAAAGCATGGGCAGGGTTCTTCTGCCCTGAACATCCTCACTGGCCCTTGCCTTCGAGGTGACAAAGGAGGGTCACCTTCTGTGAGGCAAGGGCGGGGAATTTATCATTTTTTCCTTACTGGTACTTGTTTGCAGTTCATAATGATTTTTTTGTTTGTTTGTTTTTTGTTTTTCTCCGGTACCGGGAATCGAACTCACGACCTTGCGCTTGCCAGGCAGGTGCTGTGCCTCTGAGCTAAATCCCCAGCCCCAGGACACAATGATTATATTCACTGTGGCGACTGAGTGCCTGGACATACCACATCATAACTGTTATTACATCCCATTTCCCTTCCCTTCCTCTCACCCCGCTTCTCTTAGTCCCCTTCCCATTTGCAAAAGATCTGTCTCCCCATTTCCTATTGTCTGTCTTTTATTTTGCGCTTTAATTTATTTATACCTTGAGGCTCTGACTGAAGAGAAGTCACGTGATATTTAAGCTTGTGTGTCTGGTTTACTTCACTTAACATCGTGGATTCAGAGCGCGTCCATTTTCCTGTGAGTGGGTCACATTTATCCTTCATAGCAGAGTAGTACTCCACTGTGTGTGAGCGCCACACTTCCTCCACTCAGCTCTTGGTGGACACACAGGCCCCTTCCAAGGTTTAGCTGCTGAGAGCTGTGCTGCTGTAACATGAGTATGCGTGCGTCACCGTAATACGATGACCTTAGCTCTTCTGGGAAGAGACCTAATGGGGGAATCGCTGAGGTGAATGGAGTTTCTATTTTCAGTTTTTTGAGGAATCTCCACACAATTTCCATAGTGCATATACTAATTGATGTTCTTACCAAGAATGTAGAAGGGAATTGAAACTCAGTGTAAACCCCGTGGAAGTCATTCTGCTTTTGTCATCCCCGTGGCTACCATCTCCGCATGGGGGCTGACGGGCCTCCTGGAAGAGTCCTGGCCCTGCCTTGCACCCCCTGCCATGCATGCCTGTGGAGGGCCTTTAGCGCTTCCAGTGGGATGGAGCTGGACACCAGGCCCAGGGGAGGGTTGGCCCTGGTTCTGGCTCCCAAGAGTCAGGCCTCAGGTTTGTCCCAAGGCCTGCAGTCTGGACCACCTTGCCTGTGGTGTCTCCCTGTCCTGGACATAGGACCAGGACCAAGCCAGAGGACAGGAGGCTCAGGTCAGGGGAGTAGGGAGTGGTGCAGGCTAGGGCCCGGCTGACAGCAGCTGCCAAGAGGTGACCAGAGGGGACTTTCATGAAGGACAAAACCAGGTGCTCTCCTGAGTGCCCTCAGCCCCAGGGTCATCCAGACCCTAAGACCTCAATGGACAGTGCGTGCTCAGAATGCCTTGTCCAGGACTCAGGGCCAGGCCCCCTCATGGAAGGAGCCCAGCCTGGCCCCCAGCTCTGCCTCAGTGCTGTTCACCGTTGGTCAACAGTATCCTTGGCAAAGGGCACTGATGGATGATGATTTGGAGGTGATGTGGCAAGATAGTTAAAAGACATCTTATCAGAAACTCCGCTTTCCCATCTGTAAAATGGGGTTGACCAGGGTGCTGCTGGTCCACAGAGTTGGGTAAAGGCCAAAGGCTTATGTCTTTAAAGAACATGCACAGGCAGGGACACAGTGAGTGCTCCTTAATCTGGCTGCAAGTTTCCTGTCCGAGTATGGCGCCTGTCACAGCGTGTGCGCAGTGCCTGCTGGGTAAACGACTGGATCTGATGGAATCAAGACCGCACATACACAGATCATCTCTAGGAGTTCTGTGAGCACTCAAGGCAGGTGCACAGGGCCCCAGGACGCCTGGAGGGGGGCCCTCATGAGGCCATGCTGGGCATGATACTGCCACATGGGGCCCTGGAGGCTTCTGGAGAATCTAAGGATGGATTTCTGTCAAGAAACAGAATCAACTTGGGGAAGCTGGGGCCGATGCTGTTTGGTGAGAAAGCGTCCCTTTATTCTCCTGGTCACACTGTCTTCCCTCGTGTCCCCAGGTGCGCCTGAGCGGAGGCCGCAATCCCTACGAGGGCCGGGTGGAGGTGCTGGCAGAGCGGAACGGGTCCCTGGTGTGGGGGACGGTGTGCGGTCAGAACTGGGGCATCGTGGAAGCCATGGTGGTCTGCCGGCAGCTGGGCTTGGGGTTCGCCAGCAACGCTTTCCAGGTAAGGAGCTGGGCTTTGGGGTCTGCCTCCTTCTGTCCCGCTACCTTCCCTATGTCAACTAGGACTCTCACCCTAGGAGTCCACGAGGAAGGTTCAGATCCACAACCCACACCCAGAGGAAGGGGACTCTTTTCTGGCCGTAGCTCTCCCCGCAGCCCTGGGGTCTGGGCCAGTGTCTGCTCCTGGCCTCAGTTTCCAGCCTGCAGAGCAACCAGACCTGGGGTTCTGCACACCAAATCTACGCTGCCGCATGCTGGGCTTCCCCTGGGGGAGGCTGCGCCTCAAGAGCCTTGGTGGGATTTTTGCAGGGGAGAGCAGTTCAGTCCTTCAGGGCAGTGGTGACTGCCCAGCCAAGCCCCAGCACCCCCTGATCCCTTAGCTACTGACTCGGGAGCCCTTGGATGCAGTGTTCCCCCGTGGGTGGCCATGCCTCAGGCCTTCTCGCATCCCCAAGCCAGCATATCCCCAAGCCGAGTCTAGGGCCCCGGTTGTGTGTCTGCACCTTCCTCCCAGGGCTCCTTCCCCCAGAGGACAACTGAGAAAGGATCTCTGAGCTCTGGTCTTCATTCTCACTTCCCACCCCTTCACAAGGCAGCACGGGGCCGGGCAACTGAGAGTCAGTTCCTGACTTCCCACCAGCCTGGCTGCATGACGATCAGGGGCAAAGCCTCCACCTCCAAGCCTCCAGCAGACTCCCTGAGACCTGGACCAAAGAGAGTCCCCAGTTCTCAGTATCCTGGCTCTGAACTTGTACTAGGCAGAACAGTGCTTGGAGACCCATCTTGCACGGTTACCTGCCCTCAGCTCTGGTCACAAGCAGCCCTTCTGGGGGCCTAAGGAAGGGATTTCAGGGAGGTGGAAAATCCCCTGCCCTGTGGCTCCTTGGTCCAGCATCCGGGAGGAACGGGCCTCTGACACAGTGGCCCCTGCCTGCCCTCTTGGAGCTCAGCTTCCCAGGGCAGCATGATGTTTCTGCTGGTATGTGTGACAAGCTGGGCCTGCTCTGATTCTCCAGGAGAGTGGAAAGAGAGCTGCCATCCAGCTGCTTTTGTTGTCTGTCACTTTGTTTCTAAGACACCTAGGCCTCAGCTGCGGCTATGAAATGGGGCTGTCGTGACATCAGTCCCAAGTCTGCCACTGATTATGAGCTCTGCTCAAGGGCCCAGTGTTCTCATCTGGAAAACAAGGAGGATATTGATCAAGTTCTGTCAAGAAACAGAACCAATAGGCTGTATGATTTTGCATCTGTCCCCGGTATTCGTGGGTGCTACTCCCAGGACCCCCTTGGACACCAGATTTTAACAACACTCTGGACCTTTACGTAAAATTGTATGATATTTGTATATAACCTGTACAATCCTCCCATATACTTTGAATCATCTCTAGGGTACTAGTAATGTATAAGACAATGGAAATGCTATGTAAACAGTTGTTACACTGTATTATATAGAGAATAGTAAAAAGAAAATAGTCTATATAATTAGTACAAAAACAGTTTTTAAAAAAATACTTTCAATCTGCAGTTGGTTGAATCCATGTATGCAGAACCCATGGATACAGAAGACTATCTGTCTGTCTATTATCCATCTGGCAAGAGAAAGATTTGAGGAATTGGCTCTTATGGTTCTGGAAGCTGGCAAGTCCAAATTTTGCTGGGCAGGCTGACAGGCTGCAGACCCAGGGAGGGGTGGATTTTGTTCCAATCCAAAAGCATTCTGGAGACAGAATTCCATGTTCTTAGAAGGACCTTATTCTTTTTTTCTCTTAAGGTTTTTCACCACTTGGATAAGGCCAGCCCTCCTTCTGGAGGGTAATCTGCATTACTCACATCAGCTGATTTAAATATTCAGCTCACTTAAAAACTACTTAACAGAAACATCTAGTAGCATTTAGCTGGGTACTGTAGCTCAGCCTAGTGTTTTCATCCTACTTCTGTTCCAGACTTTCTGTTTCTCACTTCTCTCTGCTGGAAACATCTCCGAAAGTGAAAGATTTTATCCTAATAATCTTTTGAAGCCCCATGGATCAAAGGGGCCAAATGAATCTCAGCATCACAACCCTAGGGTCTCCTCAGCTTCTGTGTAGGATTACTCTATTAATGGCTTTTCCTAGAATCAAGTTCAAAGGTCAGACTTGATGAGCTATCTAATGATTGACCTATGAAAATACATGTCTTCTCTCTAATCAATTGATCAAGTTCTGATCGATTGATCAGGTCCTTCTGGAGCACTGGGCTGAGGCTTTGTGGCTCTGATTGATTAGCAATGTCTGCCCTGGCCTGCCACGCTGCATCCCAAGCACCTGTTTGATTGCAGACTCTGCGGTGCTGTCACAGTGAGCACACTGGCAGAATCCAAGTGCCTATCGGGAGACCTAGGTTGTCACTCATTCTGCCACCACCTGATTGTGTGGCGGGAGGAAGTGACTGTACCTTAACCATATCCAACTGAAAAAAGGGTCATACCCTGGGATTTTCTTGAGGCTATAAGTTGACAGAATATGAGAAAGTGGCCACTGGAAGTGACCTGCTGGTATTTCTTTTGTTGATTCATCCAGGAGACCTGGTATTGGCATGGAAATGACGGCAACAGAGTGGTCATGAGTGGGGTGAAGTGCTCAGGAACGGAGCTGTCCCTGGCACACTGCCGCCACGACGAGGACGTGTTCTGCCCCCAGGGTGCAGTGCAGTTCGGGGCTGGAGTCGCCTGCTCAGAAAGTGAGTGTCCCAGGGGTCCTGTCCCAGGGGTCTCCTCCCAGCCCCCCCGGCCACCCTGAGGCTCCAGGATCACTTCCTGTTTCCAGACCCTGGAAGCAACATGGCTGCCTGACTTTCTGACACCCCCACCCCACCCCACCCCTGGTGCCACCACATTGTGCCAGAAAGGTGGGATACTTGGAAGGGGCAGTCCAGCCAGCATTCTCAGTGGCCTGGCTCATGCTGAGAGAGGACCAGCTGGATGCCTGTGTGAGCAGTTGTCCTTGCAGCCTGAAGGTCACTCTCCCACCTGAGTCATCTCTGTCGTGGGCCCAGAAACTGGCTGGACCAGTTGAGAGCAGGCTCTGCCTTGTTAGCTGACCTTGACAGTTATCTGTCTGCTGGGGTCCTCACTTCCGGTTGTCCCAACACACTGGAGATCAATTGTGACAGTGGATACGTTCAGGGGTTCAGTGAACACTGTCATTTTACCATCACCAAGGGTGAAGGGGAAGATTATGCTCCAACTTAGTCAGCTCTAATCTCCTCACTCGGTGCGCTTCCTAATCCTTGGAAAGCATGGCTCTCAGCGCCCAGTGATCACACTGAGAAAGTTACTAGTGTCACATCCTGTCAGAGAGGAGAGATAGTGAGGTCGCACTCTTAGCAGTCCTCCACGGAGAAAGCATGCAAATAAATTCAATGATTCATGTATATTTGCTGTATCTTAACCTTTTCAAAAGGAAATTAAGGTAATAAAAAGTAAAATTCAAAATAACATAATATAAAAACATGTAGAAAGGTGGGTACTGGCAAAAAATGGAGTTAAAAGAGAGGTTAATTGAAAATTTTTTTGTATCATGGAGTTCCATACACTTACTAGGGGTAGATCATTAGTTTCAGAGTGAGTTTCCTAGCAACCAAGGGAAAGAAAGAAACCTGATCATGAAAAGAATTTACAGAACCCCTCAGATGGAAACAACCATGTGAGTGGAGAAGCCCACTGCTGTGGACACTGAGAACAAGGGGATTTCTCTTTATAAAGACTGAGAGCTGAGGAATGAGCAGTGCCCTCAACATCCTCATGGCAGAAGTGAGTTTTAAGGGCCCGTTGCTCAGAGTAGCCTCAGCTTAGCGTGCCCCCAAGGGGAAGGTGCCATGTGGGCCAGGAACACAGCTCCTGGTGGTCAGCTAAATGCATGTTAGAGTATTCAGGGAAATTCTTCAGGTGACCTTGGTAATTCTTCTCCACTAACCAATTACACACGGCCCAAATCTGCACCTCTCCCTTGATCCTATTCCTTCTCACCACCTCCCATATCCAGCCTGTCTGGGTTCTTATTTTTCAGTATTTTCCTGACCTCTGTACATCCTACTGCCCTTGCCTGTGTCCAGGTGGCTGGCTTCCATACTATATCATGGAGAGACTCTGAAAGGGGCTCCCCAGAGTGAAATGAGCCCCTCCAATTTCTTCCCTCCCCACCCACTCTCTTCCTGTTCAAATCCCTGTCAAGTTTCCATCAGACTTAAGGAAATGAAGGGATTTGCACAGAGCTCGTGTTGTCCAGCCTCCTTCTGGGACACACACACACACACACACACACACACACACACACACACACACCCTGCAGTGTCCCGGTCACACAGCCCCTCGTCCTCCTTCAGGTTTCAGGGTCCTCGTACAAGCTGCTTGTTTCACCCAAAGCCTCCCTGATATTCTCAGCCTTAGAGTTAATTCTTCTGGTCTCTGTTCATCTTCCCCAAAGGGAATCCTCCTGAACACCCACTCAGCAGAATCTCTGGTTTTAATTCCCACCAGTCACCATACCTCTCCTGAAGCTGTTGTTGCAGTCTAGCACAGTGTCCGTGGGACACTCAAAGAGAAGGGTGGGTGACAAATGCCACCACTGAGCTTCTGTTGGCTGTTCTGGGTGTCAGGGATGTCAAGTCCCCACCCCACGGCAGGTGTAGGGAGCAGGTTCCCAGCTCCTAGCAGAGCAAAGACCACAGTTACTCCTGAGCTGGAGGGAAGGGAGGACTTAGGAGGGAACTCCTAGCAGGAGGCCATGCTGGGAGGGCTAGCCAGGGCACAGACAACTGAGACACACATCTAAAAAATATATAGAGCCCAGAATCCAGGGAGCTGAGCATTCTGTACCCCGGTGGGAGAAATACTTGTCAGCAACTGGGAACCTCCTGATCTACGCCTTCCCGTTCCCATCCGTGCACTCTGTGGGTGGATTTGCTGTACCGAAGCCACTGGCCCCACAGTGCCAGGGAACTCAGTGGTCACTTGGGACCTCAGTGCTCTTGGGGAGGGGAGAGCCCAACTGAACCTCAGCTGCAGGTCTTGTGAACTTGAAGAGAGCCAAATTCCATGTATATGCAGCATGGCAGAAAGTAAAAGATGGCAAGATCTGATGTCAGTCAAGCATCTGGGACATAGCGCTACAGAAATGAGCAAAGGAAGCTCACACTGACAGGAGAATCTGCAACCCGTCTTGTGTAAAGAGAGGCTTAGTAAACAGATGCAGGAGGAAGTCATTCCTTCAGCATCTGCTAGGTGCAGCACACTCAGCAAAGAAGTCAAGCCTTTTTGGAGCTCAGGAAATCTGTGTGTGGTGGAAACAGAGAACTGGTTAAGAGGGCAAGCTGGCAACAGGCATCAGACCATAACATGATGCAGCCCTTTCTTCTGGCGATTTCACTGATATAAATGTCTCCTAAAGAAAAAAACTGAATTTGTATATACATACTTCCTGTAGGATGTTTATCACAGCTTTGTCCTTAACTCCAAAAATTCCAAACAGTGTACATAGCTAAGACGTGGCAGGTATAGTTATGAAATAAACATTATGTAGCACTGAAAGTGACTGTTGTAATAGATACGCCTATGTAAGCAGTCAAGATGTATTTTAAGAGGAACAGTTTTAGCAGACTGTAAATCTACACGCATATTATATGTGTTGGGAAGTATAGTCTTCTCAGAAGAAAATCAGACCAAGGGTGGAGCAGTGTTCTCTCTCTCCCATCATTATTGTTGGGGTTTTTTTTATTATTATTATGGAGCGTTTGAAGTCATTTGAGAGTAGAGAGAATAAACACACCAAGCCTTCGCACACCCTTCCCTAGATCCCATACTTGTAAGCATTTTGCCCCTGTACTGATAACGGGTGAGATGGCCAGCAGGGAAGGTCACCTTGAGGGGCCCCCAAGTCTGTTCCAGAAGGTGGTGGCAGGCAGGACAGGGGTTGTGCCGGTCTCGGGATCAGAAGGAGCCTCAAGGAGGGGTCTCCCGTGTTGTGACCACCGTGTCCATCTTCCCAGCCGCCCCCGACCTGGTGCTCAACGCGGAAGTGGTGAAGGAGACCACCTACCTGGAGGAGCGGCCCATGTCCATGCTGCTGTGCGCGCGGGAGGAGAACTGCCTCTCGGCCTCAGCTGCGCTTGTGCAGACAGACGAGGAGCTGGCCCGCCACTACCGCCGCCTGCTGCGCTTCTCCTCCCAGATCCACAACAACGGCCAGTCCGACTTCCGCCCCAAGAACGGCCGCCATGCGTGGATCTGGCACGACTGTCACAGGTAGGGCCGCTCCCATCGCCACCCAGCTGTCCCTACCTGACGTCCTACGCGGCCTGGTCGGGGTGTCTGGAATGGGTAGGGTCACCTAGAGAGAACTGAGAGGCCACATACGGTCCAGGGGGCGGGGCCACACTCTCCTTGCATGTTCACAGAAGCCATTCTCCACATCCAGCCCCCGAGCCCCCTCCTCTTCCCGGGAGTCTCCTTCGGCCTGTAGCGCTCCTAACGTTAGGCAGCTGACTGTCCAAGCACCAAGCCTTGCCGCTGACCTTCAGTCAATGCTTTTGATATAGAAGAGCTCCCAACCTGATAGACGCCTGATATGAGTTTGCATTCTCTAAAATCGAAGAATAAATTCTAGGAACCACAGAGGTTAAGAGCAGAATATACTTGTTGGGGAAAGAAAGCTCCTGTCTGAAAGAGACAGCAGAGGTCCGGAGTGGGTTACCGAGGACCCCGCTTTTCTTTTTTTTTTTGGTTTTTCTCCGGTACCGGGAACCGAACTCACGACCTTGCGCTTGCCAGGCAGGCGCTTTTGCCGCTGAGCTAAATCCCCAGCCCCAGGACCCCGCTTTTCAAAGGAATTTTATAGAGCACAACCATGAGGTGAGGTAGGTGTAAGGTGGGGAAAACTATAATCAACTAATAAGATTGCAAGTATAGTCGCTTAGGTAACTAAAAGAAAAGAAAGAGAACAGGAAATGGGCATTGGTTTTTATGGCTTTTTATGTGCTGAGGGGGCAACCTCACAGGAGAGGAATCTTGGGGACCAGGGCTGTGCTGAAGCATCAGCGTCTGTCTGTTGGTATTGCTTGTATATCATCTTGTAAAATAACTGAGAATTTAGGCAGAGAGCCCGATAAGACCTTTTGCCCCCAACATCCTTTTATAGGGATGGAGAGAAGCCAGCGGACGTTAGGCAGGAAGGTCCCAATAAACATGTGGAAGTTTTTCGGCAATCTTGTATCTTAGTGGGCAAAGTTTTTCGAAGTGTGTGTTGTAAATTTTGGGGTATCTCCAAATAGCTCCAGGACCTACAAAATTCCTTGTTCTATTTTATCTCCTTTCCTGTGTTTATGGATGATGACCCTGACCTCCCTTGACCTCAGGTGCTGAGCTGAATTCTCTACAGACAGTGGCGCTTCTGCTGGCAAGCAGATTGGGGGCTGGGAGAGTCAGGTCTAATTGGAGACTTACAGTAACACTGATCCAATGGGAATTCACAGGGTGGCCGTGAGGTGGGACAAACTTTGGTGAACCAATAAGATTATGAGTATACTGTAATTGCTTAGGTAATGTTGATTAAATGGGAAATCACAAGGAAGGCATGGAGTGGGACAAAACTATATAAGATTACAAGTATAATTGCCTAGGTAACAGTGATTAAATGGGGAAGAAGTCAGGTAGCCAGCCAGCATAAACTGACTTTTTCCTGAAGAGGGTGAGTCAGTGGCTCTTCCCGGCCCCTCACCCAAGGTGATTGATACCTATTTAGAATATCAGTCACTGCTATTCATCCCTATGGGAAGTATGTGGATGTAGTCATTCTATCTTTTGTCTTGAAAGCTGGCCTTTAAGGAATGCTCCTCCATCCACATTTGCAATATATTCTCATCTTCTGCACCAACTCTTGAGTGCCTGTCTCTGTCTGACTGCCTATCATATTTCTGCCTAACTGTCTATAATATTCCTCTTACCTCTGCTGGATCAGCATCAGAAACCTGTTATGGTCTGTATCAGTCAGGGTTTGCTAAAGAAACAGATATAACACAAGATATACAAATGTACAAGAAATTACAAGTCTGGCTTACAGTGGTCAGCCACAGAGTCGGATGAGGAAGCCTGCAGAGGGTGTCTGCACGCTGGAGATTAAAGAGTCCAGTTCAAGGTCTGGAGCTCAGTGCAGTGTCCGTGCAAGTCTGTATCTGGAGGCTGATAGGTTTGTGACCTAATGCTGAAGAATCTTCGATGAAGTCGAAGAGTCTACATTAGAAGGCTGAAGCGTTCCAGGTGGAAGCCACACAGTCTGCAGCAGAAGCCAGGAGATGACCACCAAGCTGAAGGCAAAGACAGCTCCTCCGAAGAACCAGCGATCAGTCCTTCCTCATTTCCCTTTTATTGTATGCAGCCCTCCCGCCCTGGGGCAGGGTTGGGGTGGGTGTCCTTGACACTCATACCATCTCCAGGCCCTCCTGTTGCACAGGCTAAGGAGGAATACAAAGTAAGGACCCTGGCTCCCTGCTGAGTCACTTAGTTACCTTTTAAACTTTTCAAGTTGATACAGTGAACAACATCCTAGAGCCCTAAGGGCATGTCCTTTACACCCCAGGATGTAGAACTATTGAGTTAACTTCGTTAAGCTTCTAGACTCCTCAAGTTGGCGCAATGTATCAACCACAACGATATCTTTAGCTTCTTTTTCATGTCAGACCTTACAGTCACATTCAGACGTTTGAAGACAGAGTTACTTAAGGTGCTTCAAAAGAAAGGACTATGATAGCATTTAAGGGTCCTGATTTTCCCTTAAAATGATTATCTGAATGTGTTGAAAGTCCTAGTGAGCCAAAGAATTTCTGGTCTTCATACAAAAGCATATGCATCTCCTTCAGGGCATAAGTCCGAGTAGGGTTAGGGTTATGACCATCTCGGTGGTTGGTTTTCTTTAGAGACCAGCTGGCTGGAAGCCAGGGCCAGTGACACTGCCTATGGGGCTATAAGTGGAAGGTAATTGTACCCCAGCCCCACCCATGGCGGCCCGCCCAAAGATTACAAGGTAGGAGTCTCCAACTGCCATATGCTTTCTCCCAGGGAGCCAGATTCTCTAAGAATAGTCACAGTGATATCTCAGAAATGTTTTGATCTGGAGTCCGGGAGACTCTGACCCCACCTCCCCCCACGTTTCCAGTGGTTAGTTTTATTCCTTTGCTTACAGATGTTCTGGTCGATGGTTTGGGAGGGAAAGGTTGGGAAGCTCATGCTGACTAAACATGTGTCCCTCTAACGGAGAACTGTGACCCCAAGGTCCTCCAGGCGCTTTGAGAGGAACTTTCAACAGGGTGCCTGGTCTCAAATCTCTGTTGGGTTCCTTTGGAAAGCTGGCCTTTCCTCGGATCAGAGAACTTATTTCTAGAAGCCATAACATCCCATTTCTGCAGACTTCCAGACACTGTGAAGCCCATCTGTGGGCCAAGAGGGAGAACCCTGGCTCACAGTACTGTGAATGGGGGAAAATGCCACTCTCAGCTTAACTGATGCAGCAATGAGGAACAGAACCTTGTTGTTTGAAAGCCCTAGGTTGGGAGACAAAGGCTGGTGCAAGAGGACATAAAGGAAATTGGACTCAAGAGTTGTTCTCTCTCCAGTCATTGTGCCCTTGGTTGGTGACCTAAAGCAGCCCTTCTTCTGTCTCGGGTGCCAGGGCGTGCGAGCCGGGCTCTCCTTGGAGGTGACAGACCCAAGTCAAGGATGGCACTGCTGCAGGAGCAAGCTCTGCTGAGCCTGCCCTGCCTCACCCTATGCTGAGCAGATCCATGGAGGGTCACAGTCCACAGATGTGGCGGGTGACAGGCCACACCCCATGGTAGGCCTTGTTCCTTTCAGGGGGCAGCGGGGTGGCATATGAGGATGGCAGAATGGAGCCCTGCCCTGTGTCTGAAATGAGGACAGGAGTGGTGCCCCGCTGTGCAGCGTGCCCTAGGACAGTCCCTGCCTGAGGCTCAGGGAGCACATGCAGGGATGTGGGAGAAGCCTCGGGACTCAAATCAAATTGCCAAGCGCACTGATCTCTGGTTGAAAGTTTTAAGGGGGGCCACCAAGGACCTAGGATGACAAAGAAGGCACCAGATCGACCCTCCTACCCTTCTGTGAACCAGCTTCCCCTGCCTGCCAGGCAGCACCTCCTCCCTCAGCCAGGGCCAGCTCTTCCGTCACAGCGCTCAGTACCCTGTGGTGATGCCATCCTTTTGTCCAGGTTACTAACCAAGCATCAGGCCTCTTAGTGTCCTGGGATTTCTTTCCCTGTCTCCAACCTGGGGCTCAGGTCCCTTCCTAGATCTCCATCAGGGACAGAGGACGCCTACCTTGGTGTCCGGGACTTTCCCTCCGCCTTCGCAGCACCCACTGTACTTTGTGGGGGCATGTGCTAGTGGTGAGAGGGGGCCCCAGGCTCGACCTTGGGCCAGCAGGGAAGGAGATGCGGCACCAGGGACGGAGGGATGCCTACCTACGCCCAGAGGTAAGCGGAGGTGCTCTAGGACAGAAGCCAGAGAAAACCAGGAGGCAGCGAAACCAGCTATTCCCCTGCCGGTGTTTGCAAAGGGAAAAACTGAAGCTGGAGGAGCCTTAAATCAGGCCCTCAGGAAGCCAGGTGGCAGAGGCCGCCCCATAACAGCCCGTCTGTGCTCCGTCTGCATTCTGTTTAGACGACGGGACACAACCCTACCCTTCTTCGGTCTTTCCACCCAGCGGCGTGGTCAAAGAAGCCCCTCTCTGAACGAGCAGACATTTTTTAGGCAATGAGTCAGACCTCATGTCTCATCAGGCTGCTTCAGAAGCCAAAATAGACTCTTTCAGAGTCATCGCTTGAACTGCCACAAAATCCTCCTTGTGTGAGCTCCCCCTGGGCCCCTGGCCCAGCACCAGTTTCCCCAAGACACAAGTGACCCGGGGGAAGCCCAATTTAGCAACTTCTGACATTATTTTTAGCACAAGCAAACACAGACGCAAGAGAAGAGTCTCTAATTTCCTCTCAGAAAACCCTTCCTTGCCCTCCCCTCTTCCCTCTCCCTGATCCCCGCATACAATGGGACCCAAGGCCACGGCAGGAGGCCCAGGAAGTGAGGGGCCACAGTCAGCCTGGGAGTCCCCACCGCCAAGCAGGGTGAAATACTGGGCTCTTGCTGATACTGCGCAGTGGTGAGAAAGCTGACAGGTACCGAGTTCTCTGGGTCCAGCCTTGTGCTAGGCATTTCATGGCTTCTATCCTGTTCAGTTTTCATGGCCTTGAGAGGTGGCCGTGTTGTCATTGCCTTCTCACTGAGAAAGACACTCAGGTTGAGCATAAGCCAAAGAAGGGGCTCTGTCCCCACGCCTTGGTGCCTCGTTCTTCTGTGCTCCCCATTTTCTGAATGTCCCTGCACAGGGTCGGATAAGCGTGTTGGAATAGTTGGGGGACACACAGGTTGGGGCAGGGCAGCAGCCAGCTCATTTGTGCCCTGGGCTCAGGGCCTGGGCAGTGGGTTCTTCGGGAAGCCACATTTGCCTTGTTTATTCTGAACCAAACACGTCACTTTCCAAGATTCCGCATCTGTTCTCAATTCCTCCCAAGTGAGGAGATGGCCCGTCATTAACAGTCAGCGGGGGAACTGCAGCCTGCTTTCTCCCTTCCTGAACCCCAGGAGGCGCCTCCTCCTTAGCCGCCCCACTGCGGCGTTCCCAGGAACACCCTCTCCTTCCCAGAGTCCTCTGCTCTCTGTCTGCTTCACTGTGACATCTCAATGCAGGAAGCACATTGCTGTCACCGCCCCCCAAGGCTCGGAGGCAAAGCCAAGACCGCCTGCTCCTACTCTGAAGCACACATGTGTCCCCAGGGTACACGCATGTCCTTCTCCAGACACACACCCAATTTCCTACGGCCCCTCCCCCCTCACAGCTCCTCCTCTTTTGTTCTTTTTCCCTCCCCACCATATTTCTACCCTAAAAAGTGTGCAAAAGACATCAGTGTGATTTTCTTTATTAGCCCAGAAAAGCTAGAATGAGGGAGAGGGCCAGCCAAGTGCGCCGAAGGATCCCTGCTTGTTGAAAATAATAAGGCGCGGCGCTAAGCAGTTTGCCTCACCGAGGGCCACAGAACTCCATGCCACATGAATTGCAGGGCCTGGCACTTTCTGGGAAGCAGCTTCTTCCTTTCCCATGTCTTCTCTCTTCCTCTGCCAACCACCCCCAGTCGCCTGAGGTCAAATCCCCCGCTGGGCAGCTGTGCGTAGGCCAAAGGGGCTCCAGACACTGACCGCAGGCCCTCCTTGCTCGCAGGCACTACCACAGCATGGAAGTGTTCACCCACTACGACCTGCTGAACCTCAACGGCACCAAGGTGGCTGAGGGCCACAAGGCCAGCTTCTGCCTGGAGGACACAGAATGCGAAGGAGGTATCTTTGTTGGGGGAAGTTAGGGGCTTCGGTAGGGCTCCCACTAACTCCGGATAATCCTGGGCACTGAGGACTCTTCACATCCTTTGTCTACGCTGGGCCTTTGTATGCCCAGCTCTCTGGGGCCTTCCGGGGCCACAGGTTGGGGCTGGGGGGTGTGGGTGAGACCTGGTTTTAAAGGTACCTATTCCCCCAGAGGTTTGCTGAGGCGCACTTGTAGGGTCCTATGGCCTCCCCAGTAAGGTCCAGATCCTTGGGCCTGGCTCCCACACCCCTCTGGCTCTGCCTTCCACAAGCTTTTCTTCCTAGGTGTCCCAATGCCCAGTGTCCCTCCCCCACCGAGCTGTGACCCTCCGGGTCCAAGCTCACGGGAGATCCCAACTTCTCTGCCCTGCCTTGATGACAGTTCCCCACCTGCCTGCAGTGTGACCACCTGGTCCTGCCCTGCCACTGTGCCTCACTGGGCCCCTCTACGGCTGCCCCTCAGTATCCATGTGTTCACTGAAGAAGCATGCCATGAAATCACACTGCAGACAGGCTTCGGGCACCTATTGCATGCAGGCCACCTGTGAGGGGCCAAGACCACCAGACGGGAGCCGCCACTCCCGCCGCCACTGCTGTCCAGCAGAGATGAGGTGACCCTGTGTTGAGCTAAAACGTGGGCACCAGAGATGCCCCAATAAAATGCGCAGTCAGTCCCAAAGCTGAAGTTTCATGGACAGCCAGGATGTGGGGGGAGCTCCATGGAGGAGGGACACCTGCAGGAAGGCGAGGCATGTGGTAGGAAACGGAGGGGGTCCTGTTGAAGTAAGAGCAGATCAGAGGAAGCAGAAGTGGGGACCTGGGGCAGCAGGGCTGTGGGTTGCTGGTGATGGGCTCTCCTCTACCTCTGCCTGCAGCTATCCAGAAAAGTTACGAGTGTGCCAACTTTGGGGAGCAGGGCATCACCATGGGCTGCTGGGACATGTACCGCCATGACATCGACTGCCAGTGGATCGACATCACTGACGTGCCCCCTGGAGAATACCTGTTCCAGGTGAGGGGGTCGGGGAAGGAGCCCATGCCTCTGCTGAGGGGAGGTGGGGCAGCCCCGCAGCCTCCTTCCCAGAGGTGCTAGGAACAGGCCATGGAGGCCAGGCGGCACCAAGGCCGATGCCACACAAAGACCATTGTATCTAGCAGGTCAACTGAATGAGCGAGGCAGGAGGGCTTGCAGGGCCTGGGGCGAACCCAGGATGCCTGGATGTTTGCAGGTAATTCAGTTCACCCTGGGAGCTTCCAAATAGAAGTGCATCTGCAGGCTGACTTAGTTCTTGGGCCAGGTATTGGCTCCCTGGACTCTGAAGCAGTTCACGCCTTTGGCCTCCTTTCGAGCTTCTCTCCCCTCCACCCTGATTTTCCCATGACTTCACCCTGTCTGGAACTGTGATACAGAGGCTGAAGGCAATCTCACGAGGAGCTGGTCACTCATAAGTGTTGGGGACATCCCTCTCTCAGAAAACAGGATCTGCAGAGAGACCGCTGTCCACACAAAGAAATGAACCTGTCATGGTGGAATGTCAAGCGCTCAGGACAGCCTGAGCAGCTGTTCTGTGGGGTCTTCCCAAGGCTTCCACATATTGAGCCAGGGGGAAGCCCCCCCGCACCCCCGCCGCAGAGGAGGCAGGGAGCCATGGCTCTCACCTTCCTGCAAACAGCAGACGCTCCATCCTTGGCCCACCTGGTAGGGGACAGAGGAGACACTGTCACCTCTGCCTCCCCTCCTGGTACATAGCCATATTCGCGCAGGCAGAGTCATCATTTCAACACATCCCCACCCGTCTTGCTTTCCTGCCTTCCCTGTCGGGTGGCAGGGTGGGTGACAAGAATGTATGATTTTGCCCTGAACACTTTCCCAAGGAGGCACTAAGCCAGCCCCGGGTTTGGCCCACAGTCCCCGCCGCCAGATGCAATTTCCCTGAGGAACCAGCACCTGCAGAGAAGTGACCACAGGGGCTTGGAGAGGCTGGGAGTCAGACGGCCAAGCCCTTTTCCACCCATGAGCCTGAGCCGCAGACCTGGGAGAGGCCCAGCCAAGTGGCTCTTTATTTTAGTAAATGAGTACCTGTGGTGGCTTCTGTTGGCGGTTTGCCACTGAGTAGGTGACACTGTGCATTCCGGCAAATGCCATCAGTTTAATAACTGGGTTTTACTGAAGATTTATGCTGAGTTGGGCCCCGCGTTGGCCCAGTGAATGCATCATCCCATTAAGCACACCACGGAAGAGGTCTGACTGCTGTCCTCGTTTGACGGCCAGGCAAGCTCAGGTCACATCAGCTCTGTAGTCTGTGTCCTTGACCTAACTATACAACTAGCAATTGGACTTGTGAGGGGCTGCTGATCAGCTGAGAGGGAAATATTTGCTTCTGCATAGACAGAGCTTTCGAAACCTGAGAGCCCTGGCCAGGTCACTGCACATGAGTGCCCCCCTTCCCTGTAGGGACAGGAAGAGGGTGCCAGGCAGCAGGGAGGGGGATTCCAGGCCAGAACGTGTGTGCACAGTGTCACGGGGACAGCTCCGTGGGCCACTAGGTTCCAGCCACCCTTGCTTTGTCTTCTTTCTAGTCATTCCCCAAATTCACAGACATACAGGAAACTAAAGCCCTTCCCAGGAGGCGGAGATTTGGAGCTGCAGCTGTGAGAGGGGGATGGGCCTGTGGGGACCACATATTTCAGCCCCCATCTCCTCCAGCCCAAGCGGGCCATGCTGACCCTGAGGGCCCCGACTTGGGCCCTCACTGTGGCCCACGGCCCTTGTGAAGGCACCTCAGGGATACCTGGGTGGGCAAGGGACCCATGGGCCACGGTGTGCAAGGCGATGTTTGCCCCATCGTGTGAGTTTGGCTGAGGCAACAGCTAGGTTACTGAGTACAAAAGAGAACAAAGAAAAGTCAGGCCACTCCAGAGCAGGACATTCAGCCCTCGGTCAGCAAGGACAGGTCTAGCCAGCCAGGCCAGATCGAGGTCCCCACGGTGGCCTCTGCCAGGCCAGGCCACAGGCTGGCCTGTTTCCGTTTCTCTTCAAGCAGGCCAGCCTGCTAAGGCCTCTGGAGCCCCACACCTGGAATGTACCTTAGGGGCTGCAGCCCCTCCACAGGCATGCAGCCCCCAACGGAAGTCCTGTCACTCGTGTCCCCTGTACCCTCACTCACTGCCCCAGACATAGCTTTTGCCTTCTCGCCTCTGCCTCCTGTCATTCGCTTCTCTCCTAGTTCCTCACCCAAACCTCCCCTTTCTGTCCCTTCCCAGACCCCTCTGAGGATGATGGTTGGCCCTTGGGCACAGAGGGGATCCTCTCTCCACCAGCAGCAGCCCCCAGCCAGGACCTGGGTGGCAGAGCAGAAAGGGCTTGAGGATCGCCTGGTCCTAGGCCCAGAGATAGGAGTGGGCCCGGGCAGTCACCGTTGCCCTGGGGCAGCCCTCTTCCTCTCCCCACCCCATCTCTGCAGCTTGCTTCCTCTTCCTTCCAGGGAAGGCCCAGCAGCTGGTTCTGGGGCCCCAGGAGAGGGTGGCCTTGCTAAAGGACTCCCCTTGTCACACTGAGACAGGCAGAAGGTCCTGAGGTCTTGCTGTTCCAGGCCGTGACCCTCTCTGCCCCCTGGAACTCAGCTCTGCCCTGCCTCGAGGACATTGCCAGGACTCACCATCTCCCCTCTAACCAGTCCTGCCCTCGGCTGCTCCTTGGCACCTCCCTTGGCATCCACCAGCTCTAGAAGCCAGGCTAGCCTCCGCAGAGCCTGAGCTCCGGTACAGGATGACCAAGGAGGGAATTAGCAGCTTCCTCTGATTTATTCTTCCCAGGTTGTCATTAACCCCAACTACGAGGTACCCGAGTCGGATTTCTCCAACAACATCATGAAGTGCAGGTGTCGCTATGATGGCCACCGCATCTGGATGTACAACTGCCACATAGGTAAGGCCCCTCGCTGCCCCGCCCCGCCTGCCTCAGCCACCCCCAGGACCAGGCAGAGCTGCCCTACTTTCTGCGGGAAGCAGAGGCAGCAGCCAGCGCCACATTCCTGGGTTCAGGAAGAAAGCAACTGGCTCCAGAGGCCTGGGCGGAGGCTGAGTTTCACAGCCAGCTCTGGCCCAGGAGAGAGGGCGGCACAGAATGGGCTGGACCCAGAGAGCAGACCCAAAGCTCTTTAAAGGCCTTGAGCTGAGGCCACCAGCTCATCATGCATGTGACCTCAAAAACATGGGCTTCAGCAGTTTGTAGGCTGTGTATCGCGTTTCCTCCGTGAAAAATTCAAAGCGAGTGAACCACTGTAACTTCTCGTCTCCCTTTATGGCTTTTCTCTTGGATTATGACTCGGGAGACAAAAAGGAAAGCAGAGCTTCCTCCTGTGCAGGAGGGTGACAGCCCTCACTCTTGGTGACAGTAGGATTAAAGACACTATAGCCTGGCAGCAGCCAGAGTGGCCCCCGCTCGGGGAAGGGCTGAGCATCTTACTGGCCAAACTCTCTCCCGATCGCCCTCCTCAGGTGGCTCCTTGAGTGAGGAGACAGAACAGAAGTTTGAGCAGTTCAGTGGACTCTTAAATAACGAGCTCTCCGTGCAGTAAAGAAGCCTCGGGGTCACCTCCTGTCTTCGGGTCACACCGCACCTCCCCGGCGGCCATCCAGACTCAGCTCAGGAGGAGGTGTGCCCTCATCATCAGGTGCCGCGGCCTGGCTGGCCTTGGAGGCGGGGCTTGGCCACGGGGCTGTGGGAGCAGTGCCGGAAGCCAAGCTTGCCAGCATCTGGGGTGGCACGCAGGCTGTCATCAGCTTGCGCCCCGAGCCACGGTCCATCCTCCATCTGACGCCTCCAGACTGTGCACGGTTCATACGAGGCCGCTTCCTTCTGCAGTTACAAGGGGGCACATGGGAGCTATGAGCCCAGAGGAGGCCAGGTTGAACCCCAGCAGACTTGAACACAGACCTCTCCTCCAAGTCCGCCAACTGGCTCTGCTCAGTTCAGTGCCATCATAAGTACAGTAGTCCGCCCTTATCCACGGGGCTCCATTCCAAGGCCCCAGCAGATGCCAGAAATCACAGTGCCAAAACCTATATATATGATACTTTTTCCTATACATACCTATGATAAAATTTTATTTAGGCACAGTAAGAGATTAGGAAAAATAGCAAATAATAAAACAACCATAACAATATACTGTAATAAAAGTTTCACAAATGTGGTTCTTCTCCCAAAATACCTTATTGTGCTTTCGCTCTTTTACTCACAGGAAGCACTTTCCACCTCTTTGGCATATCTGAATTGCCAGGAGCCTGACTCTTGCACTCAAAGGCCATTTTTCAATAAAGTAAGTTTTACTTGAACATGAGCCCTGAGATACTGCGACAGTGGATCTGATAACAGACATGGCACTGGGTAGCTAACGGGTGAATAGCGTATATAGCGTGGATACACTGGGCCAAGGGATGAGGCACGTTCCACGAGAGACACAGCAGGATGGCTCAAGATTTCATCACGTTACTCAGGACTGTAAAATTTAACTCAGAAAGTGCTTCGTTTTCCATCTAATATTTTTGGACCAGTTGACCAGTAACCTCAGAGCAAAACCATGGCTAAGGGAGGACTACTGTAATGTTGCCACATTTTTCCACTAGGTGTGCTCAGATTGGTGCTGATTCTTGTTGGTGCTTCTCTCCATCCTCTCTTGCTTCTCAAGATACCATTATTGTATTTTCACAGCCTTTCAAACACAAGTCATTTAGTGTGGCATTTACCATCAGGCATCTGAGCCTTTGCAAATATAGCTCAAAAGAAAAACCAGCCCACGTGTGTCAGTGAGTCATCTTTCTGGGGTGCCAGTTTGGGGTTACTGATTCAGTGGTGCTGTAACTGGGGTGCTGGGGATAACGGGGCTTACCAACCCATCTCATCACACACTCACACACACCTGAAACGTGGACTGGAAGGTGCTGGACACACACCTGAGCTTCACCTAAACCACTGCACCCCGAGCTCCCTATATCCACTGCTGAAAAGGAGCCTCACATGGGTTCCTCGTTACCCTCCTCAGAGTTGGCTCCCATGCCCCCCACAGTCCAGAGTGCCCTCAGGGGCTTCTCATACAGATTATGAAGGGAGCAACTGCAGTCCTTGCAAAAGCAGTCTAGGGAGGTCTGAATTGACAAAGACCCAGCCAAGACTTTTTGGAACTCCTGCTGCTTTGTACTGAAATGTATCAGGGTAGAGTAGTTCAGTCAGGACCAAAGGGGACAGTTAGGGTTCCACGGTCAGTCGCAAGGAGCTTCCCAAAGGAGTGTGTGCCAGCAGAGCAGAGGCTCTGCACCCTTCCCGGCAGCAGCGTGGGTGGCCCACGCTGCCATTCTCACCCAGACCCAAGCTCCTACCTGCGAGAAGGGCTTGCAAGGGTCAGCAACTCAGGAGTCCACTGTGACCCCAAACCTCCACCTGGGGCCACCTCAGCATCCACTCTCCACAGGAGCCACCAAGCGGAAGGCAGAAGCAAAGGCAGGCTGCACTCGGATCCCACCTTTCGGCCATGTGCATGTTTGTGTCTGGGAAGAGCCCTTCTGTGACCTGCACTGACATAACACCGGGACCAGCCCAGAGGAAGGCAGCGGGCTATCCGAAATGTCAGGCACCAGGCAGAGGGCATAAAGCAAGTGCAACTACCCCCAAACAGGGTGGACTGTGGACAAATGCGCCAGAGCCTTGCTACGATCCTCTGGGTCGGGGTCCCAGGGTGACTTGGTCTCCAGCTGCCTCAGGCCCACGGTGGGAGATGGGACAGCGCCCCCTAGTGTCACATCACAGACCACATTTCAAAGCAATCGTCAGAACAACTTTAAAGTTTTTATTTTCTTCTCAATTTCTGGGATTAAACCAAACTAAAGCCCAGCCGTGGGCCCCATGGTGAAGCTCAGCAGAGGCGTGGGGCTGTCTGGATGTCTGTAAGGGCTTGTGCTATTGGGGCCCAGCTTAGTCTGGGCAGCCTGGCCTGGGCCCTGAGGATGACAGGTTGCTTGGGCGCTCTCTCTTTTTGTGTTGGAACCCCAGGGCCCGGGCCACCAGCCTCCGGGCCACAGCCGTGTCTGTCTGTGGCCTCTCCTTCGCCAGTTGCAGGAGCTCTGAAAGGAAGCCCCCACCGGGTGGGGGGCTTGAGTCAGAGCTGTGGCACAGAGCGGCCTACAGGCTGCGGGAGCCGACGCCCGTGTGTGGGGTCTGGGCCCGGCTGTGCCACAGCAGCCGATGCTTTGTAAGAGGGCCCCGTTTCCCTCGCTATACAGTGGGGATGAGGAGGGTCAATCTTCCCCATCTTGTAGGGCCCTCCTGGGGGAAATCAAGTCAGAATGATACACCTGGGGCCTCGGACCTACGGACAGAACCGGGACAGAGGCCCCCTCACCGTCCACACAGCCCAGCTGGCCCTGGCAGACCTGCCTTGGCCTGTGCTGCAATCATAGGAAACTGGCCTAAAGGTCCCCACTGTGCTTTCTGGAAGGAGAAGAGCTCTGTAAAGGCAGGGCCTAACATTTATTTCCGTGGCACCTGTTGAGTGCCCCTCTCGGCCCCAGGCAGTCTGCACACTCACTCACGCCTCCGGTCTACCCTGGGTAATCTTATTTTACAGGGACAGAAATGCACTCACAGACTACGTGGCTCAAAGTCAGCTGAGATCCGTGACACAGCCACAACCCACCTAGGGCTGAGCCCAAAGCCCAAGCACTTTCCACACCCTTAAGGCATGGCCTCCACAGCCCCAGAAGGAAGGGCAGGCTTTACCCAGCAATGCCCAGAGGAGGAGCGAGGAAAGGGCAACCGCAGGCAGCAGCTGCAGACACCACTCCCCCTCCAGCCTCCCCAGCCCTCTGGAGAGCGGGAACACAGCCCCCGGGGTTCCTAAAGAGCAGGGAACAGGAAGAGGGAAATAAACAGGGAAGAGCCCACGTGGCCCAAACCCAGCACCTGCACCCGCACCCTTACTTGGCCTCTGTAGGGCTCTGAGCTTTGACTGCTTGGTTCCCTCCGTGAGCGGCCGGATCTTGAGAATGGAGAAGTCCCTGCTCAGGGCCTCGGCAGCTGGGGAGGCAAGCGGATCTGGAGTGTGGGCCTTTCTGCCTGGTCACCCTGTCCAGGTCCACCCGTCCCAGGTCGGCCAGTGCTGCTCTGTGACAATCCTGGCTGGGCGGGACAATGGCCTCTGTGCCCCTCATGCTCTAGAACCCCGCAGACCTGCCAGTGATGCCCCAGGCTGCCAGTCAGGAACCACACCAGCAAGGCTGCCACCCTCGCAGCAGGAGACATGCCACCCAGCTTACACCAGGTTCCTCCACGTGCCCCCCAGGATGCCCCGGGCACCTGCGCTCCTTGCCCTACTCATGCTCGCCCAGCCAGGGAGCACCCAGGCTGTTCATGGAGCACAGTGTGACAGAGCAGAGGGGAGCTCAGGTCCTTACCATCTGCTGTTTTACAGATGAGGAAACAGAGACCAGGACATCACACGGTCAGAGCCCAAAGGATCGCCACGGCCACCTCTAGCCAAAACCTGCTCGTCCTGTGGCAGCCAGTGTCCTCCTGGCCTTCCCTCCCTGCCTCCCTTCCAGGGGCTCCTTGTCTAGGGTTTTGAGCCCCCAGGTACCCCCCCTGTCCCCTGAACACCTTCCCCGCCCTGGAAGCCCAGGCTCTGAGGACTAGGCCGCAGCAGTGCGGGAGGCATCTCGTTCTGGTGTTCGGAAGGCTGGGTGGTTTGGGCTATTTATAAAGACTCCCAAAGTGGCCAGTGGGGTGGCAAGGGTGAGAGGAAAGCGGCCGAAGAGGGACAAGCTGGAGTCAGAGGCGGCTGCACAGTGCCCCCAGCTTGGACACTGAGGGGTTCACGCCGGCATTCTGGGAACTCAGCCTCCGTCTGTGGGACGAGGCAGCACCCCGTCTCAAGGCCGACATGGAAGCAGAATGAGGATGCTTCCACCCGAACCTGCAAAACCGCCAGTATGGAAGCTGGGGGCCCATAAACCAGCACTTGCCAACAGTCTCACTCCACTTGTGGAAGGACCTAGGGCTTGGCCCGTGGTCACAGAACCGTCCTTGCTCAGAAGACACCAACAGGAACAGGAAAGGCCAAAGACACCCCAAGAAACCCCAAACTGCAGCTCACGCTGGCAGGGAGGGGCCCGCTGGTCCAAGGTGGCCTGCACCTGCAGATGGGTGGCACTCTGCCCAAAGAGCCCAGGGTGCCCCAAGTGCTGATCAGAGACAGGGTGGAGCCCACCACAGGCGCCCTTACCTGCGGCCAGGCAGGGGAAGATGCCGAGTGCGTGCGTGTCGTCCACCCACTGGATCTTGAGCCCCTTCTCCCTGTGTGCAGAGGATCCAGGCGGTCACAAATGCCAACGGCCAAACCCTTCCTTGTGGATGTCACAGGCAAGCTCCCTCCCACCTCCAGCGCTCGAACACTTCCACCCCAGGACAAGGGCCCTCTTCCAGGAAGGAGGTGACTTTTTCTCAAGAGCATCTGGTCAGCTTTACAAACACAAATGTCACCCTGAAAAAGCCAGGGGGGTCCGTGAAGGACTAGGACGCAAAGAGCTCCTCTGGTACAAGGCCAGGCTGAGGAAGCACCTCCCTAACAGTCCCACCCACAGAGATACAGGCTCCGAGGCTGGAGGCTATGGTGGTGATGGGGGGAACAGGCCCACAAAAAGAGCACATCCAGGACCCTGTCCCAGTCAGCTTCCTCCTTCTGCACCCGGGAGAGGCTAGCAGCGGCTGTGGGCCTGCCCAGCTCCTCTGACGGCCCTGCCCACCTGGCCTGCTGGCCCTGGACATATAGAGAACAGAAGGGCACACCCTGCCCTCTTCAGCACAGGGAGCACAAAGGAAGATGGGATGGGAAGCAGTCAGAAGGTTGAATGCCTAGAATCCCAGCACTTGGGAGGCTGAGGCAGGAGGACTGCTTTGAGTATCAGGCCAGCCTGAACATAGTGAGACCATGTCTCTAAATAAATAAACAAACAAACAAATAAAGGCCATGCAGAAAAGTAGAACAGTGGAGAAAGGAAAATGAAAACTAAGAGAAAAAGGCAGGAAATTGAATCCAGAGGAATGTGGGGAAACCAGGAAGTCTTGTCCCTGAATAGCTCCCTGGCCTCAATAGCTGCTTGAGCCAGACCCCCAGAAACAACTCACACACCAAGAGGGCGCTTGGCTTGCCACAGACCCGCTGGTCCCAGGATGTGTCTACAACCCCCCCACCGCTCTCCTTTCCCCAGCCATGGCCACTGGGCTCCCCTCCCCTGAAGAGAGCCCACTTCTCTTTCTGTAGCACGAGGTACCCAGGAGGGTCAGGTAAGCATCCTCAACAACAAAGGGCTGTCCTCGGTCCTCCCCAGAAGGCGGGCCCTGCCTCCCCCTCCACCCTGCAGCCAGCACTCACTGGAACTCAGAAAACGTTGCCAGCAGGTCCTCCGTCTTGAGCATTGGCTCAAAGTCGTAGATCTCCACCACGTGTGCCAGGTCCTTCTCCCCAGGCAGCTCCTCCATGAAACAGGACGCGTCCAGCTGGGCCTTCTCTATCTCGACCTCCTTCTCCGTCAAGTGCGCAGTGATCTGGGAAGGACCAGACCCCTTGACAAGGGGAGCTCTGGCACGCAGGGCCCCAAACAACTGCTTTCAAAACCACTGAGAGTTCTGCCCAGCCCACAGGGGCCTCCAGTACAAGCTCAGACAGAGGGTGGGAGGTCAGGATGTGGGGGTTCATGGGACGACACTTAGTCTACAGGGTCCCCACGGGGTGACCGGCACCCGCACACATTTCACGTAACCCTGAAAAGCTCTGTGTGACGTTCACTTTACAGAGGAGCAAATTGAGACCAAACAGTAAGTGCTTTTGCCCAGGGTTGCAATAACTAAAGCCAGAGCTGGGAAAGCCCAGGATGGTCCTTTGACATCACCTGACTAATAAGGTGACAGTAAGCAAGTCTGTGCAATCTCCATCCCTCAGGTACAAGACAGCAAAGGCGCCCGCCCTCCCAATGAGACCCACCACCAAAATTGAGCAGGCACGTGGTTCCAAGGAAATGCAATTTGTAAATAAAGCTTCCAGCAGACGGATGATTTTCTATAGCGCACGGTGAGCACCTGCCTGTGTAGTCTGTCTGTTACTTGGAGGCATATCCTATTACCACTGGCTTTTCCAGATGAGGAAAGAGACTGAGAAGAGCAAACGACTTGCCCAGGGTCAACTAGCTCCTAATTGTTTGAGCTGGGATCCAATCTATACCGCCTACTTCACAGTCCCTAAAAAGCCGGTATCATCCAACACCCAGACCTGAGCTACCAGGCACACCCCGGACCCTCCACCCGATCCACCCTCGGCCACACCCACCTCACTTCTGCCCTCCCTTTTCTGGGCTCAAGGGCCTCATCACCTCCTGCAGCAGCTCACTGTAATCATCCTCTGGGAAGCTGGCCTCTTCCTCCTCGTCCTCCTCCTCTCTGTCCATTGGACTCTGCTCCAGCTGACTCGAGTCCTCCTCTTCCAGGGCTGGCTGCAAACTGGGCCCTAGCTGTGTGGCTAGCTCCACCCCACATTCCTTCCCCGAGGGACTCTCAGGCCCTGGGGGCTCGGTGTCAGCTGGCTCTAGCCTTGGCTCATTTCTGCGGCTTTGGCCTGGGCCTTTCAGGTCCTCCGTTTCCTGAGTCGTCAACACAGGGAGTGCTTGATGAGTGCTGGGGTCCCCAGCATCAGCGTCACCAGGCTCTTCCAAGACCCCACCAGCGGGGGCCTCTCCCTTGAGCCCTGGGGTAGAGGTCTCTGTCCCGTCCTCTTGCCTGCGCAGCACCCGGGGCACGTACAAAGGCTGGTCTGGCTTTCGTCCACGATGCCACCGGCCGGGCCGTGGACCTCGGGGACCAACCCCTGCTCCCTGGTTTGAGGTGGGCCGAGGACCATGGTATTTGCCAGGGTGGGAAGCAGGTGGGCGGCAGGGGCCAGAAGGGCCATCTGAACTTGGCACCCTGGAGCAGAACAACAGGAGGGGGTGATCAGCGCGTGTTTGGGCCCAGAGGAATACGGGGTTACCTGTCATTCAGGTGTGACACAGTCAGTACTAGATAGAAACCAAAGCCAACATGACCTTCAGAAATCCCCTAGGAAGGCATCCTGATTGAGGCAGAATGCCATCTCTGACAAGCCCCCAAAGCCAGCTTGCCTTTGGGTGTTAGAATCAAAGCAGAGATCTCCGGTTGTTTGTTCCCACACCACAAAGGGTAGATACACCCACTACGGAACCGTTTTAGAAAAAGCTACACCTTTAAACACTAGGATCACAGCCACTACGGTAAGATGTGCATTCTGCGAGATGGGAATGGGAAATGACTGACAGCAGGGCAGGTGCTCCCCTGTGCCCTCATCTTTCTGGGGCACAGGCTGACCAAGAATGTGGGCAGACCCACCCTCATCCCGCCCAACACGAACAGCTGCATTTGCCAGGTGAATTCCACCAGCAGGGCGTGTCTGCCCAAGCAAAGCACCGCACTGACTTTCTGCAATGGGGGTACGCAGGCCTGCGGGCTCCCTGCCCTGTTCCTGCCCAGCTCTACCAGCTCAGGGGCTGGCCAGCTGGCTCTACCACCACAAGAAGCCGAGTTCTAGAGGGCTCCAAGGCAACCGGATACACACCTGATGTCCAGGTGACAGATGACCGTCCTCCTCCTCGACCCCTCACCAACAGAGAAGCTGCTCAAGAGATCAAACTTCTCCGCTGTTCTGTGGATCAGGTACCGCAGGCGACTGGACAGTGGGGGGAAAAGCAGAACCCTGGGAAGGGAAGGGAAGCAGTGCTGGGGGGGTGCTTCCACCCCCAACCCCGGGGGCGCTGCCTCCTACCAGATCCACACCCAGGTTAACAGGGTTAACAGAGGCTTAACGCCAGGCCCATGCGTCCCAGGCCTGCCGCAAAGGACCTAGGCAAAAAGTCACCCCTGGGAGCTATGCAGAGTCTCAGGGTGATGCTGAGAACTATAAAGGAAAGACGCGGCTGGAAGGGACTGGCGGCAAAGGTGAAAGGTCAAGGTCAGGGCCAGCTGCCAGCCCGTTTCCCGGGTGCAGCCCCTGGGGGAGGCGACAAATCCTATCCTTCCCCGAATCAAAGCGGCTCCCTCACACCCGCGTACTTTGACAGCTGTTTCTGCAGCAGGAAGCGGTCCAGCTCCTCCTGGACCCGGTGGACAAAGTCATTCTCGGCCGACGATAAGAAGACCCCGTCCAAGCAGATAAGGGCCAGCGTGACCGGTGGGAGAGCCTACAGGGAGGTGGGCAGGGCTGGAGATCAGAGCCCCGGGCACGCCCACGGCCCCCAGCGTCGGCGCCCAAAGGGCCCTGAAGAAGCTGCGGCCAAGTCAGGAGGCAGGCTCGGGACCTGGGAGCCAAGGGGCAGGCAGGGGTGGCCTGGGTCCCACCAGGGCCGCCGCCCGCGCGCCCCGGACCCAGCGCAAGGGCAGACGTCGCATCCCACGCTGCAATCGTAGCCTCGGACTTGAACCGCGTCGCCCACTCACCCTCCCCGCCGGGAGCAGGGGACCAGGATGGGTAAAAATACTCAGATCCCGCCGAACTCACCGCAGTCGCCCTACGCGCCGCCGCCGCCGCCGCCGCAGTCAGGTTCCCCAGGCGCCTGCGCACTCCCGCGAGCCCGCAAAGCCTCCGGCCCCGGCGGAGCCTCAGCGCCACCGCGCGGCTTGGGGGAGGTAACGCAGGAACGGCGAGGGGAGGGCTCTTGTTGTGGACCGGGCCAGGGGCGGAGCCTAAGGCAGGGCGAGGCGGAGAGGGGGCGTGGTTGGGCTTGGCCATCTCGGGGGCGGAGCCGGCGCACAAGCGCGTGGACACAATCAATGGACCAGGGATTACATTTATGGGAAGACCGGAAGACTGAGGCCCAGAAAGATAAAATGGCCTGTCCAAAGTTGCAGGGATAGTCAATTCTGGAGTCTTTCTTTGAGCAGAGATGGACCTGTTTCCAAAGTCGGCTCTGTAATTTTTTCCCCCAGTAACTGTCCTCTAGGATCAATGAAGTTCAGACACTTTTGAGAGGCCACATATTCTAGGTAGCGGCAGGGCTAGATTTTCCTACGCTTTTCCTCCCCAGGAACCTAAGAGGAAGAAAGAGGAAGGGAGTTTCTAGGTACGGGTGTTCTGGCACACTAGCCCTCCTTCTCCCTCAGTGAGCGGTGACCCTGGAGCAGGACAGGTCGCTGGCCAGGTGTGCTCATGTGGGCAGCTGCGCTGGGCAGCCGCTAGCACAGTGATTTGCAGGTGAATGTATACCGTACTACCCTTCTCCTTCCAGAATCATTCCAGCACCCACCAGCGTGGGGTTTAAAAGTCTTGCTCTCAGCTGGTGAGATGGGCTATTATAATCCAGGAGACCAGGGCTGGAATCCTGCTGTTCCCTGAAAAGTATTAAAATGTAAGCTCTCCGGCACCCTGAATCCAGAAGCCCAGGACAGCATGTGGCAAAACCCGAGTTTGCGTCCAGTCTGAGCGGACCTTGCCATGGGGTGCGGGCATAATGGGGAGGCAGGGCTGTCCCTTGGAGAGGCCTGGGTGTGGAGAAATGCAGAAAAATAAGATTTTGGTCTCTCACACTACCCCCACCCCAGGTGTTTCTAAGAGACAGGGACATGGTACCATATGTACAAGAGCCATCTTCCATGTAGCCACGAAAGAACAGACCTAGGCTAAAGACAAAATGGAAATGGAGAAGCCAGGTGTGGTGGCACATGCCTGTAATTCCAGCTACTGTGCTTGGAAGGCTGAGGCAGGAGGATCAGAGTTTGAGCCCAGCCTTGGCAACTTAGTAAGACCCTGTCTCAAAATGCAGCTCAGTGGTAGAGCACCCTTGGATTTGATACCCAGTAGTTTTTTGAAAAGGAGCTCCCCCTATGAAGAAACAAATCCCAAATCCAAAAGCAAGCCACACACATCCTTCTCAGAGGTAGCCCCAGACTGAGGTATTCAGCAAATTCAGAGTTGCAGTCGGAACAAAACTCTCAGAGGAGAGCTCCCCGCAAATCGCATTTCCACCACTACAGCCTGTGCAAAGGGAACTCAGAGGCTGAACAGGTAGAAGGCTCTGCACTCAGGCTCCTTGGGGCTGGGGCTTATCTGGGACCGCTAGGAACTGGTCAAGGGACCCGCATCAGTCTCTATGCAGGATTCAGAAGCAAACAGCAGGCGAGAATAGACCAATGCCCGTTCATTCAAAGGTGTATCCACATGACAAAGAGCAGCAGAGGATTAGTGCGATTTCTATAGCAAAGAAAAGCCTAGCAGGAAATAGATAGCGAATAAGAGCTTCATGGATGATTGTTGAGAATACAAAAGAAAATTTCAGTGAATGACTTCCCCAGGAAGCCAAAGAAAGCTTGACTCCCATGTTCAGCGATAAAGACTGCTTTGAGGAGGGTGACACCAGAGCAACTGGATGATGTGAGAGAGACCATCATTTGGAAAGGACAGAATTTTGAAATGGAGAATTGATTAGTGAATTCAAAGGCTAAGAACCAGAGGGAAGGAGTGGGCCAAGGAGGGGGAAGCGAGCAGATGTGACAAAAGGTGTGTGTGTGTGTGTGTGTGTATGTGTGTACTGGGCTTAGAACCCAGTACCTTTTCACTATGATATATCCTCAGCTTTTTTTTTTTGAGACAAGTTCTCACTAAGTCATTCAACTGCCCAGTCTGGGCTTGAAGTTGTAACCCTCCTGCCTCAGCCTCCCGGAGTGCTGGGATTACAGGTGTGCATCACCCAGCTATACCATACCTAGATTGTAGTGTAGTGTAGAGATAGGAACCTAGAAGTGTGATAAAGTTATTGAACTAAACACACACATACACACAGTACAAGTCATGTGGAAAAATGTGAATAAGATTAGTAGACTGCACTGGTATCAATATTTGGTTGCGATATTATGCTATAGCTTGCAAGATGTAACCACTGTGGTCACTGGGTACAGAATACATTGGATTGCTTTATATTTTTTACAGTTGCATCTTGTTATGGTTTGGGTCTGGGTGTCCCCCCAAAGCCTGGTGCAGTCATGAGGCAGGCTTTTAGGGTTTGATTGATTATGGGTGTGAGAGCTACACCCACCCTGGGGTAGATAGTTTGCAAATGTAAGGTAGAGGGAGAGGCGGCTTGCCGCTATTCCTCCTTTGTGTGTTTGTTGCTTTTGCTGTGTTCTGCTGCCATGAGCTGTAGCCCTCTGCCATGTGCCACTCTGCCCTGTAGCCTGCCAAGTATGGACTGAAAGCTCCACAAACTGTAAGTGAAATAAACCTTTCCTTCCTTAATTTTGGGCATAAAGTATTTTGTCCCAGCAATGAGAGAAAAGTAACCAAGACACATCTGACTCACCAATTTGTTCAGTAACAATTTGAATTAAAAAGGAAAATCAGATATGTCAATTTCTTAAGTATAATTGAAATCATTAATAACTTAGTAAATATAAAAGAAGCTGGGACCAAATGTTATTGAAATTTGTTTTGACATTTTAAATTTATCAAAGTGGTTCTCATTTTATATAAAGTGTTAGAAACATAAAATCATAACATTTATAAATTAAACTTTAAAACTTAATGAACCCTGCATATTTAAATTTGTTATTTTTATAAACTAATATTATTTAAAATCTAAATAAGTATAAGAAGTCATTTGTGAAAAAAATACTCTGAGACATGAAAAAGTCCACATAGAAAATTACATGAAAGTCAAAGAAAAAGCCAGCCATAGTGGCACACACCTGTATCCTTAGCACTTGGGGACTGAGGTAGGAGGATCACTGAGTTTGAAGCCAGCCTGGGCTCCACAGTGAGTTCAAGGCTGACCTGAACTACATAGGGAGACACTGTCTCAAAAAAAAAAAAAAAATCAAATAAGCTGGGCGTGGTGGCACACACCTGTAATCCCAGCACTGGGGAAGCTGAGGCAGGAGGATCATTGCATGTTCAAGGTCAGCCTGGGCTACAAAATGAGCTCAAGGCCAGCATGAACTGCATAGCGAGACCCTGTCTCAAAAAAAAAAAAAAAAAAAGACAAAAAAAGCCCAAATAAAACAAGGAGAGTGAAGCAATTAGAGAAAAATATGTATACACCTGCCAGCGCTGGAGATCCACAAATGAATAATTAACATACCTGAGAAAGGAAACAAAATTACTTGAACAGGAAAAGTAAAAAGCAATACTATTTCCTTGAAAGAAAACGTGAATTTTACAGATTAAAATGATGTTTCAGAAAATAAACAGCTGGTGCAGATCATGGTAATAATATTTCTTGGGTGATTAAAAAAAAGACTATTATTGTATAATGATTTAAGCAGAGTACAAATGGGAAAAATCAAGTGGCTTGTAGACTTTTCTAGCAGCTCAGATACCAGAAGATAACAGCAACATTGGTAGAATTTAAAGGGAAATGTTAAGGCCAGAATAGTCTACAAACTACGATGTCATACAAAAGATACTCTTCAGCCTGCAATGGCAGAAGTGTCTCTCATAGAAATTCTGCTGCGTTAAGTAGAGTGGTAAAGGGTAAGGAGCCCAGAAGCACAGACACAGTTTGAGAACAGCTTGGCACATGACCTGGGCAGCTTAGCTCTCAAAACTTTCTGTAAAATCCACAAATAACTGAAAAACTTTCTCTAATGAGGTCAGGCGTAGGAGCACATGCCTGTAATCCCAGCACTGGGGAGGCTGAGGTCAGCCTGGGCTACACAGTGAATTCAAGGCTAGCCTGAACTGCATAGTGAGACCCTGTCTCAGAGAGAGACAGAGAGAGAGAGAAGAGAGAGAGAGAGAGAGAGAGAGAGAGAGAGAGAGAGAGAGAGAGAGGGAGAGAAACTAGCAAAGGGAGGTGTGGGAAAGAGAGGGCTGGGAGACTGTGGAATCAGAAGGAAGAGAAGCCCTTTCTGACCTGCTTTACCTGATTGGCCTGTGTGACCCCTAAATTACAGATGCATTTGCTATGTCTCGGTTTCCGGGAGACCGTTGCCTCAACAATGCCAAGTTCTAAGCCACTCTTAAAGGGCCAGTGTCGGGAGCAGCTGCAGCTGGAAACCGGTCATATGTGTGAAGGAAGGACAGAGCCAGAGTGCCTCAAGCAGTCAGGCTACCCCAGTCTTGAGAAAAGCATCCTGCCTGGGCAGTTCAGTCATTAGTTGCTAGGCAACCCTGTGTCCAGTGACACAAACTTTGTAAAGATGTAAGTACCCACCCCTATTGCAGCTGTTCAGTCCTCTCCCATCCGGTAGAGGCCTCCATCTGACCCAGCTCTTGTCTTGTGTCTGTCTTTTCCTCATTCCCACCGCCGTTCCTCCCCGGGCTACATGGACAGCCCGAGTCCCTACAGGCCAGAGTAATGCAAACCAAGGTGCCGCTGGGGTTCTCTGCCATGGGCTACGGGGCTCACGTCTGTCCTCGTCTCAGCCTCTGAGCTCCTGCCAGGGGCTCCTTCTGGTGACTTGGATCTGCAGAGGTTTGAACACCCCCATTGGGCGCCACCTCGGGTGGGCTCCAGGATACCACAGAGCAGAATTCATGGATGTTCAAGTCTCTCCCATGAAAGGGTGTGGCATCTGCACATAGCCCACACACCCTCGCGTACACCTTACACCGACTCTAGACAGCTTACAAGACCTAGCACTACGCAGATGCTGTGGAAGAATTACTCTATTGCACTGTCCAGGAAAGACTGCTGAGAAAGAGCTGATACCTGTTCTGTACGGGCTTCAGTTTTCATCAGTCCATGTTTGCAGTGCAGAGTGATTACATCTATTGTGAGGAGTCGGTCCACAGTCAGAACACACCTTAAATCTCTGCCCATCCCCTCTTCCCACCCCTCCCTGCTCCTTCCAACTCTTGGTCTCCTTTCCATTTGAGAAAGAGCTCTCTACTTCCTATTATCTAGCTTTTATTTTGTTCTTTATTTATAGTTTGGGTTTCTCACATAAATCATGCAATATTTAAGCTTTTCTCATTTGTCTCACTTAACACTATGGTCTCAAGGTGCATCCATTTTCCTACAAATGACTTTTTAATCCTTCCTTATGACAGTGTAGTATTCCACTGGACATAAATATCCCATTTCCTTTACCATTTATCTGTTGATGGGCATGTAAGCTGTTTCCAAGATTTAGCTATTATAAATTTAGCTATAAACCTGGGCATGCATGTATCACTGTAATGTGATGACTTTTACTCTTTTGGGAAGATATCTAGAAG